AAAATACAAAAAAGGGCTGGAGATGTGACTCAGTGGTTAAGTGCCCCTGAGTTCAATCCCCAGTACAAAAAAAAAAAAGAATTACACTTTGAGAGGACTCCATGACATTGTGAATGCCACCTGAGTTGTACACTTAAAACTGGTTAAAGGTGAATTTTGTTGTTGTTGTTGTCGTTTTTTTAGCCAAGAAAAACCATAAAAAATATTACACTTTGAGTATTGCTGTTCTAGAAAAGTTTACCTGTGGGAATGCTTCCTGGTGATTCAAAAATGATTTAAACAGGTGTAGGACACGGTGGCACACACCTGTCATCCTAGCCACTGGGGAGCCTGAGGCAGGAGGATTGCAATTTCAAGGCAAGCCTCAGCATCTTAGTGAGACCCTGTCTCAAAATAAAAAATACAAAAGGCTGGGGATGTAGCTCAGGGGTAAAACGACCCCGGGTTCAATCCCCAGCACCCCATCCCCAAGATTAAGCAATACAATCCTTTATCTTAGCACATAAAAAGGAATCCCAAGCTTTGGAGTGAGGGCCTCTGGGGTGGGCCAACGCTGACATCACTTCAAGCACGGGATTTCCCCCTCTCTCTGCTCTGCAAAAAGCGACTGTGCTGGATGACTTCCTCCTGGTGAAGTGGCAGCTGTGTGGCAGGACCACAGGTCTCCTGCAGATGTGACAACACCCAGTGCAGCCATCCCTTCAGCAGATGCCCCCTCTGATATCATGAGTGGAAGTGCACTCCAAGCCCACGCCCATCCCTGTCACTCACAAGGGGGCCCTGGGTCCACTACAGCTGGCTCAGACTAACCCTAACCCTAACCCTAACGCGTAGAGAAGGGCAGATACCCCACCCTGACTGGGGTACAGCTAGGGCAGGGAGGTTCTTGGAAGTGCTATTAGCTAAGCAACATGGGTAAGCAAATAATCAATGACTTCGGGGCTCCTTTCTTTAGCAGATGGGAAACTAAATCCTCAGCCTGAGGCAAGCACCATGCAGAAAACTGCCAGTCTAGAGGCAGGTGTCATGCCAACAGCTGTCAGGACCCCGTGCAGCTCCTGTGCCCGGCACTGAGTTGCAGCAGCTGTTATGAATGAATATTGTCATCCCCATTTTACAGATGAGGAAACTGAAGTTCAGTGCTAGGAAACAATTTGGAGCCCATCAGAGACTCTTTCCTTCCCATAAAAGCTGGCCTCAGAAAAGAATACGAATATCAAGAAATGTTACATTATATCAGCCATTTTATCCAATAAATAGATTTCAGCAGATGGAGGCAGGTGGAGTTACATGTAAGCTCCGAACAGAAGGTTCTGGAATGGAATTCCTTGTGTGGCCCTCCTCCTATGCAGACAGAAGCCAGCCTGTTAGAACAAATTCTGATGAGCTCATCCTATTTCCGGTTGAGGCGTCACCTGGGCAGTGCTGGGCACACACCTGAAGATCACCGGGCTTTCCTGCACGCTGGGGTGGGGAGGGGTTGAGTGCCGTGGGCTGGGAGCCTTGTCTGCTGTGGGGAGCCTGTGCCAGGTACATGTGGATGGGTGAGAAGGTACCCTCCTGCAGGGGTGGTGAACAGCATTCAGGTGGTGAACTACATCAGAGAGACAATGACCCCAAGTGACCCACGATGAAGCTGGAATAAGTGACTTCAAAAGCTGTCCACCTTACACGGCCAAAGGGACTGTGCAGATGTGACAAATGTTGAAGTCCTTGACCTGAGGAGGGAAACCAGGATGATCCCAGTGGGTACGTGGATCCTGAGAGCACAGCAGCGTTCCCACAGTGTTCAAAGCGAGCCCTGCCACTGAAGAAGAGCCAGGGGGGTACTTCCCTTTCTGCCTTTGAGGATGAAGCGGCCACACCCTGAGCCACCAAGGAGTACGGAAAGGCTGGGGGGGGGGGCTTTTGTCTTGGATCCCTCAGCAAAGGATGCAGCAGCTCTGCCAACCCCTTGATCTCATTAAGTTGCCCAGGCTGGCCTTGAACTTGTGATCCTCCTGCCCCAGCTTCCTGAGCAGCTGGAATCACAGGCTGTGCCACCACACCCAGCTTGCCAATCTTTTCATTCTTTAAAAAAAAAATTATACAAGTAACAGTGAGCATTGTAAAACTAAAAACCCAGAGAGAAATAAAAATGAAAATCACCCCTACTCCTGCTCCTGTGCCTAGCCACTGTTTTCAGCAAGTGCCGTCTTATACTTTTTTCCTAGGATATTTACACTTATTGGAATCAGGACTCGATTCTGGTTAATATTGTCATCATCAAAACACAAAGCCAGCAGCCCTATGGCCAATCTTTGAGCCCAGTTGCGTCTGCCTCTCGGTCTTCTGAGAGGACAGAGCCCAAAGGTGAAGAGTTAAGCTGGGTGGTGGATGTTGAAATGCTGAGAAAACCCACTGCAGGTAAACACATCTTGGCAATGCCACCTGCTAATTAAGCAAGGCTGTTGTGTGGCCTCCCGTGCTGTCACATTTCAGCTGATGGAGGGCCACTGTCATGTCATTACCTCCTTCCCCGGTTTTCTCCTCCCTTGCTGGATGATCAGACACACAAGTCCAAGAGCAGCTTCCTGCAGCCATCTAAGGGCCGTAGTCATTGGCCGGTCATGAAATATTGAACATTGCTGACCTCCTTAGATGGCACCCAGCTGGTCCACATTTGCAGGCCTCTTTTAAGAGTTTCAAGTTGAAGTTTGAAGTCTGAAGAGTTGCAGGTTGCAGGACACAAACTCATGAAACTCCTGGGAAAACAGACTGAAGAGGGGGGTCATAAGCTTCGCCGACTGGGTGTTAGTCTTGGCTTTCTTGGTCTATGGTGTGTGATCTGAAGAGAGCTGCTTCACCTCTCAGCGCCTCAGTGTTCTCATCTATAAAAGGGGAGCAGGAACCCCTGCCTCCCATGTAGGAGGGAGGCTTAAACAAGGTAATGTGTCTAAAAGCATCCTGCACCTGGTAGGTCTTCAAGATACGCTCGTTCCTGTTCTTTTTTCTTGCTTTCATCACATTTCCTTTTTTATTTTCGAGAAGGGCGGGGGGAAGAGTGCAAAGACGGAGACCTACTCACTTTTCCATTCTTGACACATGATTATTGCCCATCACGCAGCACACTTTGGGGATACAGAAGGGACATGGTAATGGAGAGGGCCCAGGCTCTGGAACCAGAGGAGCTGGGTTCAAATCCTGACTCAGCGACCTTTCAGCTGTGGGTTTCTCAGGCAAGTAATGGCACCTCTCTGAGGCTCAGCTGAGGCTAAAATAGGTACAATAAGATATTTCCCAGTATGTGTGCGAGGAACGAAGGAAAAGGTACTTGTCAAGATATATGAGCTTCAGGCTTCATCAGTATAATCTTGAGGCTGTGTGGGGTGGTCAGTGAGGATGGCCAGCCAGCAGAAGAGGCCCAGAGGCCATGACCTGGGGCCTTTAGGCTCAGGCTGCTTGGGAATGGCCGCCCTCTGGTAGGGGCCCTCGAGTCTCCCTTCGGGGAGCTTTTCCTGTCCTTTAGGCAACTGTGTGGATGAGGAAACAGGCCCAGAGAGAGAGACCCAAAATCAGGACGTGAAGCCAGGTCTCCCCGGACCCCATTCACATGAAGTCCCTACCCTGCTCCCCGGGGCCTGGCAACAGACACGAGCTGTGTTCCTTGCTGCGCTGATCAGAGCGGGCAGCTGTCTCCCTCGTGCACTGGGGATACAACAGGTGAGAATGGCTGTGAGCTTGGCCAAGGATCAGGGCCACCTTGGGGAGTCTCGAGCACAGAGCAGGTCAGCTCCGGAGGAAACCTTATCAACTAAAGAGAGGTGGGATGGGGGGGCTCCTGATTGTGGGCCCCTAGGTCTGACCCTGTGAGTGCTCCATCTTTATTTACTCTCCCAAGAGCCACCCACAAAGCAGCACAATTGTTAACGCTATTCCAGAGGCAAGGAAACTGAGGACAGAGAGGACGAGACCTGTCCAGGACCATGCAAGTAGCAAAGTGTAAGTTGAACATGAGCTTGAACATGAGCTACACCTCCCCCAGCCCTACTTTCTATTATTTTTAATGGACTAGCTGCTACCTAAAATAACTCACGTGAATTATAAAACATAGGAAGCATATGAGTAGAATGAACTAGAACGAAAGCTCCTGATCCAGTCTAAGACTATCATGGAAAGTTACCAGGAACTTGTAACTTTTAGGTTGGCAGTTCTTCATCCCAGCTGCACACTGAATACCCCTGGGGAACTGGGAACAACACTGACACTCTCAGAAAACCTGATTCGCTTCGCGTTTGTTCTGGGCATTTGGATTTTTAAAAAAAGGCAAGTGGACTTTTAGAAGCTCCCCCTGTGCAGCCATGTTTAGGGGCCCCTGTCAACCTTACTATTTTTCAGTACTGAGGATTGAATCCAGGGCTGCTCTACCACTGCCCTACACCCCTAACCCTCTGTATTTTTTATTTTGAGACTAGGGAATCTACCTAACTGCTGAGGCTGGCCTTGAACTTGTGATCCTCCTGTCTCAGCCTCTTTGGCCACTGGGAGGTGCACTAGCGTGCACCACCATACCTGACTTTGAGGACCGCTGCCATATTCTCCTCTTCTATCGTGTCGCCTTGATTTCCGCACGCTCTTCTTCACCTTCATCCCACCCACGAAACCACCCCGCTGGGTTTTGTGTGGACTAACGAGGTTTGTTGCTGATCTCCCGCCCACCACAAGGGGGCGTCAGAAGAAAAAAAAACACAGTCTTCTTTTTCTTCGCGCCTCCAAGATCGCGCGGAGGTGGCTTGGCCCTCGTGGCGTTCCGTTGCCCAGAACGTTACCCAGGCAACGATCCGGAAAACGGCCGGCATTGCTGCACCGCGGGCTGGAAGGGAACCCTCGGAACTGGCCCGGCCTGGTCGGGGCCTGTGGGAGCTCGGGCCGGGTGACTCTTCGGAAACTTTGGGGCACAGGAGAACGTGAGTCGGGAGGCTGGGCTGGTCCGGGGGAGCCCGCTGTAGTTCGGGTCCCTCAGGAACCCTCCGCAGGCGGCGCCGCGCGGGCAGGAACCCGGGCGGGGAATCGGGACGCGAGCCCCGGGCGCCTGGGGGCCGGTCCTCTCTCTGCTGCTGGGGCGCTGGGTGTGACACTTTGTAACTGCTTTTGTTAGATGTGGGTGTTGGAAGCTGAGAGGGGGATGTGGTTTGTTAAGGGAAACCGCCCTTCCTGGGGGTCTGGAATCTGAAGCTGTGACTCGGTGCAAAGGCTTCTCCACGGCGGCTTTACAGGACCGAGGACAGAGTGCGTTAGACCTGCCCCCGTCTCAGCACAGATCATACGTGGGTAGCAGCGGGCCACATTGGACCCACGGATGAAGATTATGTGCCCTTAGCACCTGGAGGATGATGCCTGGTCTGTACACAGCTTCCCAGACGTTCTCGTTCAAGCTCTGTGCACACCTTCTGCACGGCAGGCAGCTCTTGGCTCAGGAGGAATGGCGACCAGAGACTACCCTTTGCTTTCCAGGCTCCAACATTGTAGCCAGGCAACTTGATTTCCTCCATGCATCTCTTTCCTCAGGGTCCCACATAGTAGCCCGAAATACTTCCAGGTGCTACACCCAGGCTTAGCTCTTCCTGGGCTCTACCAGAGCTAAGGCATGTTGGAACCGAGCCTGTGCAGTTGGCTCATTTTCCTGCCATTGCTGTTCCTCATAGATGGCGCTCCCCACTCTGCCCTCCTACTGGTGCAGTAGAAGGCTTCTGGATCAGCAGGCAACTCGGCAGCGACAGAGAGAGCAAGAAGCCCGGCTTCGGCAGCAGTGGGACCAGAACAGCCATTATTTCCAGAGGTCTGACATCTATACCTCCAAACAGGCAGAATGGAGCTCCAAAGCTTCCTACCTGCGGAGGTAACTGTGCAGTAGATGGAGGTGAGGGGTGGCACTTATTGGTCAGGGGATGTGACCTTAAGGGCCAGGGGAGTGTGGTTTGATGGCATGTTTTCTTGAGATTTGCCCGACAGCATGGATGACCCATGTGGTGATATATTTTTCAAGCTGGAAATTGGGGAAAAAATCAGCATTGAGGTAATACATTTGCACTGGAAAAGATAAAATGATATAGAAGTGGACATATGGTAGAATCTGGAATTCTACCCACATCCCAGAGAGAAACATAGTCAACAATCTGGTACATATCCTTCCATATTTTTCCCTTTTTGTGTTTAAGTACATACACAGACACAGCCCATTTTATAGAATAATCATAAAAACATGGAGATTAAAAGCATAAGATTTAGAGTCAGACCTTGGAAAGCCTGGCTGTGTCATTGTTGTATGAATAAGCCTCAGTTTCCTCATCAGTTATTTTATTTAGTGATTTTGAGACAGGGTCTTACTAAGTTGCCCAGGCTGGCCTCAAACTTGAGATCCTCCTGCCTCAACTTGGCTAGGATTACAAATGTGCTCCTCCACGCCTGGCTGGTGATGATTAAAGTGAGGCCCAAACCAAACCTACTTCATAAGGACTCAAGTGATAAATAATGTAAAACTTCCATGTGTATATTACCTGGCACATAGTAATTGCTCAAAAAATTAGCTATTACTACTATCACATGTGTATATACGTCCATTATGTTTTCTCTTTGCAAAAACAAAATATGCATCTTGTTCTGTGACCTGCTCTCTTCACCTTGGCTTAGAGCACCTTCCTGTGTCATTGTTGTGTTTGCCTCAGTCTCTCCTCTCCATGGTGGAGTAGAGCATGCCACCTGGGGCTGTAGCACGATTGATGTTTCATGGGCCTCTTCTTACCCAGCATGCATGCCTACCAGCGAGAGAAGATGAAGGAGGAGAAGAGGAGGAGTCTGGAAGCGCGTCGAGACAGACTCCGGCAGCTTATGCTGGAGGAACAGGACCTGCTGGTCAGGGAACTGGAAGAGCTGAGGCTGAGCATGAACTTGCGGGAACGAAGAATCCGGGAGCGGCATGGGAATCTGAAATCTGCCCAAGAAGAACAGAGGAAACTGGTAACTGTCATAGCCCTTAGGAGGCTGTGGAGGAGTAGGAGCATCCCCACCTGTCAGTGTAGTGACATGGGGTCACTCACTCCTGGGAGCTCTGGTCTGATGAGATGCCAGTTACCTCCAGAGCCAGCCTGGAAGAGTGCCCCCTCCATTCTTGTGCAGGGAGCATTCCTCTCTTTGGCCCCTTAAAAGATGACAGCTGATTCCTCTTTCCTAATTCCAGTTTTGTGGTTCCACAAAGGTCTGGGACTGCTGTATTTTATCTTCCAAAGCAGTTGTGGAATGGTGAGCCCCAGTCTGCTCATAGCCTGCTGTGTATTTGGGACCCCCTAGAAAGAACCCATCTGGCATCAGATTTTGGCCCCCTTCATCACCACCATAAGCGTCACTTGTCAGAGCTATCCATTCTGTTTGGATGCCTGGCTCCCAGTGCTGTAGGTGCAGGTCGGGTGGATTTGAATGATGGGTGCAGTGACATCTCATAAGCGGGAGGACATCTTGGCCTGAGCTGACTTCCATTGTGCATCATTCAGAATATGAATGGATTGGAAAAGCGACATCAGACTTCCCCTTTTGTGTTTTCAGATTGCTGAACAACTTTTGTATGAACACTGGAAAAAGAACAACCCGAAACTTCGAGAGGTAATCCACTGATTTACCTGAGTAGATAAAATCATGAAGCCAGATTAAAAAAATTTTTTTTTTTTTTACCATGCGTCTTGTTCTGGGTTGAAATGGGAGGGAATCTCCAGCTCCTAAAAAGAGCACCGGGTCGGAAACCTGGTCAGATGAGCAGTTCATTTGTTTGTTTTACTATGTGTTCATTGACGTTCATGGTTTGCTGCTGGGGTGTGGTCCTTGCCCTTAAGGAGCTTGCTGGCCAGTGGGGGAGCCAGTGGGCAGCTTGTTCAGTGCAGGCTACAGGGAACTGGGCAGGTGGTTGTGGGAGCCCCACTGTTCAGGGGTTGAGGAGGCATCCCAGAGGAGTTAGTAGGGTGGTGGGGTCCTAACTCAACAGTATAATGTGGGGGAAGAACTTCTAGTAGAGGTGACTGCGAGAGTCAGGCCTGAGTTCTGAGAGCAGAGTAAGTCCAGGGGCTGTAAGAGGCTGGGACATCACACTAGAAGTGGCAGTCCCCAAGAGATGAGGCTGGTGAGGCAGACAGAGTCAGACAGTCCCCGACAGTCCCCTGGAGGCCCTGGGGATACCCAGAGTGCTTTACCAGGGCATACCCAGAGGAGGGCGTTGAAGGGGCTGTTGCGTAGCCCAGCTGGGGGATGCTGAAGGCCTGAACTGGGATGGCAGGAGACAGGTGGATGAAACTGCAGGACCTGGTGACAGGGAGAAAGGGTGGCATCCAGGCTTGGTGGCATCATTTAGCAGAGACTGGCTGAAGGAAGTTTATCCCAGTGGTGAGTGATATTCATCTACTTCAACTTAATGGTTTGAGCACATTTGGCACTATTACTTCATTTGTAGTCACTTTCACAAGCTGGCGGTTGCTAAGGGATGGAGTTTCTGGGCGCTTTTGAGTGTTGTGTGGTTAGCATTGACCTGTGGGAAGACTCCTCTCCGTGGCTGTCTGTCATCTAGTGTGATGTCCCAGCCTCTTGCAGCCCCTGGACTTACTCTGCTCTGAGAACTCAGGCCTGACTCTCGCAGTCACCTCTACTAGAAGTTCTTCCCTCACATTGATACTGTCGAGTTAGGACCCCACCACCCTACTAAGTCAATAACTAAAAGTTATTCACAACATTCAGTTCATCACAGTGTTGGGGGGAAAATTTAAACTGTATAAATAATTTCAAATGAAAGAGTGTCACATTCCTTTTCTAATCCAGAAGATTCTCTAAGCCCATATCTCTGATAACCCCAGACTTGTTGGACCTGCTTGTTGCATCATTTGATAGAGGGAGCACCTGTTTTAACAGTTATTACTTTGCAGAGGAAGTTTTGGGGACCATGCTTATGGTGGGCTCCCAGGGTCTGCCCCATCCAGCTATCTCTCAGAGCCTGGGAGTCTGGCACTTGAGGCCAACAGAGGTGGCTTTTGAAATTGTATTTCTACTCAGTGTTTGTGCTTGCTTCCTCCTCTGCCCCACTGACAAGAGTTCCTGTTACTTTGTTTCAATGCTGGAGTTTGGTTTAGAAGCCCCTGGTCCTTTGGTTTTCTAATTGACAGCATCCAGCCTATGTCAGAGCCCCCCATGCGCCCTTACCAAGCCACTCAGTCCTCAGACAGAAGTCATGATCATGTTCCAGCGGGTGTCATGGAAGGTACCAAAAACTGTTCCCAGCAGTAGTATGTGTCACATAAGCCAACGAGGAAATTAATATTGTCCCCCTCTTATCCTCAGATTGAGTTGGACCTTCACAAGAAGCATGTGATAAACTCTTGGGAAACACAGAAAGAAGAAAAAAAACAGGTGTAGTATGTGACTCTGGAAATAGCCACATGTGTGGTGGTTGAGAGTGTCTTTGTCTCTGGATTTTCTTCCTGTTTTATATTATTGACTTAGTGACGAGGTGCAGGCCAGGTGATCAGGGCTAATGGGTGGAAAGTGACACATGTGTCTTTAAGGGCATTTATTGTTGCTGGAGTTTGTTTTGATAACATTTATATTATAAAGACCCAGGGGGCTGCATGTCACAAGTATTGGCTCTCAGGTTAATGTGGCTTCTTGCAGGAGGAAGCCACCAAAGAGCAAGAGAACAGACGCTATGAAAATGAATACGAAATAGCTCGGAGGGAAGCAATGGAGCGGCTGAGAGCCGAGGAGGAGCGGAGGCACCTGGAGGATAAGCTGCAGGCGGAGGCGCTGTGTCGGCAGATGGAGGAGCTGAAGCTGAAGGAGATGGAGGTGAGTGAGAAACGGGCCTAGGACACAGGTCCCCAGGTGGCTGGGCGGGTGATTCCGGGCACTGCAACCGCAGACCGTACTCCCTTCCCAGGTACTCCCATCCAGGTCCTCCGTGCTCTGAGGCCGTGTGCCTAGGTTCTAGAACATTAGCCAACCAGCGATAACACCTGTTCTCCTAGATGCAGTAGCCATCTCTGGGAGTCTTAGAATGTGGGTTTCCCGTGTGCTAAGCAGACATGACTCAGTTGGATGAGGCAGCACATGGCTTTCCGCTGGTAGCTGGTCTTGGGTCTCGGGAGTCTCGGAGCCTGTCTTTTTTGAGGATACTGTGCTGAGTACTCGGAGGGGGCTGGATCTTCCCCTTCACCTGCAGGGAGGCCCCATATCCTTTGACCTCCTGTCCTCTTCCTTTTCCTTGCCTAAATGTTTTAATGACTGGATACTTTGTGCCCACCACGAATTCTGGATGTGAGAGTAGAGCCTGAGCAAGGTCCTCACCCCTGGCCTCACGTGGTTGCTGGTCAGGTGGGGCAGCAGCTGTTAAGGTACAGTAAGTGTGGACAGCACAGAAAGTTCAAGGGGCCAGAAAAGACCCTTGCAGGAAGTGATTCAGTTGAGATGGAACCAGTGGACAAGTTAAGCTGAGAAAGGGGCTGAACCCCAGAGGTGGAGGGGATTGTGAGCCATGGGGGCAGGCCATGTTGTGTAGTTCCTGCCAAAAATGGAGAGGACAAATCGCGGAAGATTTGGTTGCCATGATCTCATTGGCTTTACCCTTAAAACTACAGGCAACCAAACTGAAGAAGGAGCAGGAGAATCTTCTGAAGCAACGGTGGGAACTGGAGAGGCTGGAGGAAGAGAGGAGGCAGATGGCAGCCTTCCGGCGGAAGGCAGAGTTGGGGTGCGTGTGGGGAACCCTGCTGTGGTCCAGGCAGGCAGCCTCTTACATCCACAGACTCACACTGGGGTCCCTGGAACCCATCCTCTCCATCCACTAGAGGATGTCGCCTGAGTGAGCAGTTGTCTTTCTCCATTCTGTTGTTTGCAAAGTACTGAAGCAGCCCACGGTTTGTCATTTATAGGCGTTTTTTGAGACATCAGTACAATGCACAGCTCAACCGACGCACCCAGCAGATCAAACAGGAACTGGTGAGTCTGAGTGGATGTCTTGGCATTTTTCCACCCTTTTTTGAAAAATATCTTCCACTGCTCAGTAGACACTTGCATTCTCTTAAGAATTAAAAAAAAAATGAGGGGTGGGGAATGGGGAGATGTTGGTCAAAGGATACGTACTTCCCATTTTGTTTAGGTTTTTTTTTTTTTCCTGCAGTACTGGGGAGTGAACCCAGCGGTGCTCTGCCACCAAGTGACAACCCCAGTCCTTATTATTTTTTTGAGAGACAGGGTCTTTCCCAGTCTGGTTTCAAATGTGATCCTCCTGCCTCAGCCTCCTTAGGATTAGGAGATTAGGAGCATTAGGGGCATATGCCAGCATGCCTGGCTCTAGTGACAGAATGAATCAAATGAACAGTTTGGGGATTATAGCTCAGAATACTGTTGCTGTGATTTGAAATCTGAGGATGCAGCGCAGGGTTAGGGCATAGGTTTGACGTGCATGAGATCCAATGTTCAGTTCTCAGCACCACCTAGGAAAAAAATATTTGTCAAGAAAGTAGTGTTCTGGGCTGGGGATGTGGCTCAAGCGGTAGCGCGCTCGCCTGGCATGCGTGCGACCCGGGTTCGATCCTCAGCACCACATACAAACAAAGATGTTGTGCCCGCCAAAAAACTAAAAAATAAATGTTAAAAAAATTCTCTCTCTCTCTCTCTCACTCTCTCTTTAAAAAAAAAAAAAATAGTGTTCTCACTACAGGAAAAGGTAACTGTGAGGTTATGTATGTTAATAGCTCGGTTGTAGTAATTATTTACCATGTACATATGTATCAGAACATCAAATTGTATTTCAAGGACTGGGCTTGGTGGCACATACCTGTAATCCCAGCTGCTCAGCAGGCTGAGGTAGGAGAATCACAAGTGTGAGGCCGGCCACAACAACTTAATGAGACCCTGTCTCAAAATGGAAAGTTAAAAAGTGCTGAGGATGTGGCTTAGTGGTAAAGCGTGCCTGGTCAATTCTCAATACCAAAAAAACCCCACAAAAATTATATTTCAGTGAAACTATTGTTTAAAACAACAACAACAAAAGAAAACCTAAACAGCACAAAGATTCCTCCGTGCTGCCCCTCCCCTGGGATGTCCATTTGGTGCCTGTTTGTCTAGATACACATACCTATAAAGAGTTGGGTGCTTTTTTCCTTTGGCTGTTTTTGAATACGATTGAGGTTGCATTCTTTTAGCATACTCAGTAGTACATACATAACTTTAGAAAGAGCCGTATATTTAGATTGAGCGTGGCTTTTTTATTGTAGCTGCTCAGTGGTTCCTTTTAGGTTCTTTACCGAGCCCCCCATGAGCAAGGGAGTCAGCCCTGCATTCCACACCCTCCCGGCCTTCTCTGTCAGGGCAGCTTGTTGGGACGCAGAGTCACCCCTGTGCATGCTGCCCCTGTGCGGGGCATGGGCCGCCTCCAGCTCTTCCCTCCTGCGTTGGAGCTGCAGGAGCGGTGCGTGCACAGCCTTGGCGATCGTGTCACTGTACTCGATATTCTTAAAAGTGGAATTGCTGTCAAATTATGTTCTAAAAAGCTGTGCTCTTCCTATGTCCAAGGGCTTGTGGTGGCACAAGGTGGTGGAGAGGGGACTCTGCTTTTAGGCAGCAATTCCATTTCTGCGAACATGAACTGCAGTGACAGATGCGCAAAGAAACGCGCACACTGCTCCCTGCAGCTTCAGTGTGAGAGAGAAGACCCGAGAATGACCTGGTGCCCCTGGGCAGGGGATGGCCTATTGCATGGCTGGACCAGGGCACCCGCACTGTCTGAACCGCCCCTCCTGGTTACCTGTGATGTCTTCTGGAAACATTCCAGCATCTTCCCTTCTTCGTCTTGGGAATGTGGAGTCTCCCTTTGCAGCTTGTGCGGAAGGGATGGGGGAGGGGGACGCGTCCCTGTGGGAGCGGCGCTCACGTGCTGCACCTGGGCTCTGGCCAGGCGCCCACTGCTGCACCTGCTTCCTCTAGGAGGCAGACAGGCGCATCCTGCAGGCCCTCCTGGAGAAGGAGGACGAGGCCCAGCGCATGCACCTGGCCAGGCGGGAGCAGGCCCTGGCTGACGTGGCCTGGATGAAGCAGGTCATCGAGCAGCAGCTGCAGCTCGAGAGGTCGCGGGAGGCAGAGCTGCAGATGCTGTTGAGGTGAGAGGTGGCAGCTGCCTGGCTTCATGTTCCTGCTCCCTGCTCTAGGACCTTGAAATGTCTGTTAGGTCACCAAAGGGCCACCTTTGGGTGTGTGTGTGTGTGTGTGTGTATGTGTGTGAGTGTGTATTGAACCCAGGGTGCTGGGAGCTATACTCCCAGCCTTTCTTACTTTCTATTTATTTATTTGGGTTGTTGATAGAACTTCATTTTATTTATTTATGTGTGGTGCTGAGAATCGAACCCAGTGCTTCACAGATGCCAGGCAAGTGCGCTACCGCTGAGCCCCAGCCCCAGCCCCTTTACTTTTTATTTTGAGGGGGGTGTGTTAAGTTGCCCAGGCTGGCCTCCAACTTGCAGTCCTCCTGCCTCTGCCTCCTGAACTTCTGGGATCACAGGTGTGTGCGTGCCATTGTGCCTGCCTCCACTTTCTTCTTTGAAGCATTAGTCCCTGTTAATTTGGCCATTCCCTTGTGGTATTCAATACCCTGAGGTATTCAAAGCGGAAATTATTAGGATTTAAAGTAATGATGTGTTCATTTTAAATCTTAGAAATCTGAAAGGGAATTGTTATAGATCATGGAAATGTTGAATGCTTCTTGGGTCTATTAAAATGGGCCTGAGTCTTGTATGTGTGTATGTATAAATAATGCATCGTATGTGATATACGTCAGACATTATACCTGTGTCATATACACATACATACACACATGTATGTGCACACACACCTCTTTTTGAGATGAGGCCGTGCTGTGTTGCTTCAAACTACAGGGCTCAAGCAATCCTCTTATCTCAGCCTCCCAAGTAGCTCAGGCTATAGGTGTGGACTGCCACACCTGGCTTTGAAGCCTAAAAATTAAGCAAGTAAATTGAAATAATTTAATAATATGCAGCATGCACTGAGCACTTCCTGGGTGCCAGACACTGTGCTGAGTGCTTTGCAGCCCTCCTGTTCCTGCATCCTAACGTCCAGCTGAGTTGCAGGTGTGCGGGACATGGATACTAGAGGAGGTCATTTGTGGGAAGCCATCCGTGAAATACATGACGACCTTCTCAGGGCATGGAAGCCAGGGAAGGAACGTTCCGTGGTTCTACCCCAGTAATAGATGGCCCAGTGCACTTGACCTTTTCCTTCACTCTGCTAGAAAGTTCCTCATGTAGAACTGAGATGGGCATATCCCGTGAGGAACTGGACAGCTCACCTTCATCCTGTTTTGGTGAAGAACATTCTATGGAAGGCCTTTGATGTTTCCTGATGTAAATAAAGCAGGCTTGGACTCCATCTTTGTCCAGAAGCTCGATCATGGTCAGCTTGCCCGCCCTGTCCCCTCTTTTGAAACTACTTTCTGTGTTCTGTGGTTTTTTCACTGTTTATTTCTCTTAGCTTTAATTTCTCAGCCAGCCCATTTCACCCAGAGGAACTCGTGGATGTAGGTGGGAGTCATTTCCCTGCAACAGGGTGAGCCAGCTGTGACCCCAGATGTAGGGTGACAGGGCTTGCTTGGGTACAGTGGTGCTCTCCCGTCTCCATGTCCTGATGGTCTTGTTCATGTTAGATGGCTGCAGTGTGCAGATCAGCACTAGTGCTCTCTGTACGTGGTGTGAAGCCTCTGTCATCCACTTGTGTTTGCCCAGGGAGGAGGCCAAAGAGATGTGGGAGAAGAGAGAAGCAGAGTGGGCCCGGGAGCAGAGCGCGCGGGACAGGCTGATGACCGAGGTAATCCCAGCTGCGGGGGGCTCGCCCGGCCACTGGTCCTGGCAGTGTCTGGAGTCGGCCGTCGTATAATGATCCTGCCACGCGTTCTGGGAATAGTCTCTGGTTATTTTAAGTGGGCTTTAAAAAGCATTGTAAAAGTCATACAGGCTTTTTAGAAATTCAGTACAGAAAAACACAATTGGAAAGTCGGGGCAGAGCGTCCCTGCCCCCGCCCCCCAGCCACGGCCGCTTGGCTCCTTCCACTCTCCTGTTTCTGTGCAGGGCGTCTTGCCTACATAGGTCGTTTTTTTGTTTTGTATTTATTTTTTTGTAAATACTGTACTACTTGATTTCCAGTTTCCACCTACTAGTTCATCTGGTAAGTGTCATGTTGATGGCGTCGTCACGAGGTGCACCCTGGTTGGCTTTCCTTTTCCCTCTGTGGACATTCTGTTGTTTTCTAACTTTGAGTCATGATAAGGAATGCTGCGTGGAGCACCTGTGGGAGGCTCTCCCTGCTGTGGGTGTTTTCCCTGGGTGGGTCACCAGAAGCCCACCAGAGAGCATGTGTGGAAGGTACACCCATCATGGGTACTCTTCCTGCATCAAAGGTATTTTTCTTTTTTTAAGTCAATGAATTTTTCTTTTAGGAATTTCCCATTGTAGTTCCTTTGCAAGGATGCCCTTTTTTTTTAATTGTTCGTGTCGTGGACCTTTATGTAATTTCTTTATTTGTATGCAGTGCTGAGAATTGAACCCAGTGCCTCGAACATGCTAGGCAGGTGCTCTACCCCTTAGCCCCAGCCCCAGCCCCAGGATGCCCTTTTAAAATAACTGATGCTTAATCCAGTCGTCCCATCAGCCCGCCATCCTTTTTTGGCGGATGGCTTCTGTTTGAACTTCAATTACGGACATACTGAGAGGCTCTCCCACTTCTCCCTCCAGGATATTTGGGATCTGATTTCTTCAAGTCATTGACTTTAGGATCTCTTTTGGGGTGAAGGGATTTACCTGGTTCTCAATTGCTGACCCCTCTAGACATCAGTATTCACATCATCCTCATTGCTGTCATCACCCTCAGGAGCAGTACAAATGTGGGACATGCCAATACCTAGATAAAAAATATAGAGGTCTCTCTTACTTTCCATTAATTGCCTAGTAGTTCCTTCCCATTGACCCAGCAAATAGTCCTGGGAGTAAAGCTAACCACAGAGGAAAACACTTGAAAGTGGTTCAGAATAATGCAAGGTTGCACCTTGTGCCTGCCAGTATGCCACATTTTTAATCCCTGGGAAATTGGGTCGCAGTTGATGATTTTTCATTTGTGAGTACTAAATATTCCCCAGTGGCTCTGATTTTCTCCATTTAAATTCCCCTCTTGGTTGTGGCCACTTCATGTGTCCTTGCAGAGAGTAGAGCTGGTGTGTGTGTGTGTGTGTGTGGTGGCTTCCTGGCCACTGAGTCTCGGCTGTGGCCTGGGCCTGTGGCGGGACTTGACGTTGCTCTGGGGCCCAGTCTCCTACATAGCACTCCTCTGGTTTCTGCTGCGTGGAGAAGTCGATTTGAATCCAAGCTTAGGCTGACCAGGTTGTCCCTGGTCACCTGTGTGGCTTCTTTCTTTATTTCAGAGCCCGTCTGTTGTGTGGGCCTGTTTCTATTCGTTTTCCCTGGTCTGGGGAACGGGCTCCAGCCAAACTCTTTGGGATGTCTCTGGCACCAAGCCTGCATCTGGGTGTGAGGAGAGGGTGGGAAATGCCCTTGTACCTGGCAAACATGGCCAGCACTGGTCTGGCTGGACCCATGGCTGGGCCTGAGTCCTCCATCTGGGTTAAGGTGGGGTCTGAGGATTAGGCTGGGCCTTGAGGCAGCTGCAGCCTGTCTGAGGCTCGTAGGACGACAGGTGTCATGAGATTCAAATCCTCCTCTTCCTCTCCTGAGGATAGGTTCTGATGGGGAGGCAACAACAGATACAAGAAAAGATTGAACAGAACCGACGGGCCCAAGAGGAATCCCTCAGACACAGGGAGCAACTCATTCAGAATCTCGAGGAGGCAAGAGAGTCGGCCCGCCGAGAGAGAGAGGAGAGTGAAGAACTGAAGTCAGCTAGGAAGCAGGAGTTGGAGGCCCAGGTGGGGCTGACGTTGAGGGCAGGCAGGAGCCTGAGGCAGCAGGCCCTGCCCGGGTTCTGCATCCATGGGACAGAATCTAGAGACCCTTGACTTGGTCTGTTGCCCGCCCACTCTGGCTGTTGAGCTCCAGCAGAAGCCTGGTGGGCTGGGGTTCACTCCTGCAGGTCCCTCATCTCTGGTGGGCACCAGGTGACATCCCTGTTTCTTTGTGCTGTCTTCATCTGGAAGCAGCTGGCTTACTAGACTACAGGTCTCTCTTTGGTACCTGATGTATAACCCAGAACATTCTCCTACACACTAGCCTGTCCAGAACTTTTTACCAGGTCCATAGCACCACACAGATGGCTTTTTCCATCCCCTGAGTCCCATTCCCTTTTACTGGCATTTGCCATCATTGTTTCTTAGCTCTGACCCGCAGCCGGGGTAGGACCACAGGCTTTCTCTCCCAGGGCTCTCACCCATGGGCCTTTTCTCTGGTGATTTTGTTCTTGGTGCCCAGGTGGCAGAGCGCCAGCTGCGGGCATGGGAAGAGGACCAGCAGGCGGAGGAGGAAGAGGCGGAGACCAGGCAGGCAGAGCAGCTCTCTGATGCTCTGTTGCAGCAGGAGGCGAAGATCATGGCCAAGCAGGGCTACCGGCCCAAGGTAGGAGCCTGCCAGGCGTGGGCCACTGAGCCCTGTGCTTGCCCTGTCCTCCCTGTCCCCGGGTCTTCCCCGGTCCTCCTCACTGATCTCTCTCCTGACTGGTTAGCGTCTGATGGTCTCTTTCAGTCCTTGGTTGGGCCCAGCAGTCCTCTGGGTGATTTTTCTATGGCTCCTGCTGCTATATCCCAAAGACAGGGTCTGGACTGGGAGTTGTGTGCCTGTCCACCCTGTTTGGGGACAAAACACAGTCTAAAGAGCTGTGGCCACAGCTGGTGAGAGGAGACAGTGGGGCCAGGTTGCACCTGCTCAGTAGCCAGGTGACCAGGAGACCCCCTGCTGGCCTCTTCCCTCTGGCTGATCCTCTCTTCCCCTCCCTCCTGTCTCTTGCCGCACTTGAGTGACCCCTATGGACAGCACCCTGAGAAGCACCTGCTTTGAGGGAGCTGACTAAGGGAGGGCACTGCCTGCCTTTCCTGGGGCCACCCAGGCCTCTGGTACTCTAAGGGGCACCCTGTGGACACCTGCTGCAAAGAAAGAGGACTGTCTGCTTCATGGTCAAACAGAACTGAGCGCGACAGAGTTGGCGCAGGCCCTCATCTGCAAAGGGCCTGGAGGCAGGGATGGGCAGGGATGGGGAGAAGGACCAGGGTGTCACAGAGCACAGGAATGGCAGCTTCTAGAGGGCCTGCTTTAAGGGCTCAGGTCAGAGCTCTTTTAGCTGTAAGTAAAAACCAGCTCTAATTAAAATGAGGCTACTTCCCATCTTCCAGAGACTGCTGATCTGATGGTCTCCTGCCTGCTTTCTTCCCTCAGGCCTACGGACATCCCAGAATTGCTTGGGACTAACTTTGCTGGTACTGTAGGCACAGAGAAGAATGGTGCTGAGTTCTTTGACCCGCAGCTGCTAGACAGTTCTACAGTGTTTGGCTCTGCTCAGGGTTCAAGGCAACACCGGGAGCTGAGCTCTGCATGCTCAGGTGTGTGGTCAAGGGCAACTTGAAGGGCTTGGCGTCCCCCGGCGTGGATGTGCAGAACCCTGGTGTGACGCCCTCTCCCGCCTTTCTCATCCAAGAGCCTCTCACAGCTCCCGTTCACGGTACTCTTGTAAAGTATTCATAAATAACTTAAGGTTCTGGATCAATACTAAGAGGTACAAGTCGTATTTCATAACAGGATATGTGGTTTCTCGTCTCCCCCGTGTCAACTCCAGAGAAGACTAGCCAGGGCGTTGCACATGCTAGGCAAGCACTCTGCCACGGGCCAAATCCCCAACCCCATACTTTAAAATTGTCATTTAAATTTAACTGTTGTATTGAAAACAAACTTACAGGTCTTGGTGTAGTTTATTTCAAGGTTTATGAATTTAGTAGCCTGAAAGGAGCACATCTTTTATATTTGGGAAGCAAAGAACTAGGAATAATTAGGACCTTCCAACAGTCTGACGGTCTCTGAATGCTTCTGGAAAGGTGGTGAGAAATGAGTCTTCCTCCTTCAGGAAGTGTTTTGTGAGAATTTCTGCAGAGTGTGTATGCAGGGCAGTAATCACAGTGTGTGTTGCTGACCCTGCAAAAGAACCCCAAACGGTCCCCTGGCTGACTGGTCTTTTAAAGGCAGGGCCCTGACCTTCTAGTGTCTGGGGAAGGTCTCCGTTTCACGCAGCCACCTGGGACTTTTGTGCCCAGAGAAAGGGGCTGAACCTGAAGAAACCAGATGGACTCAGACCACGGACCCGCCCCCCTCTTCTCCCACTGTTGTGTCAGTGTGACATAGTCCCAGATTTCTCTCTACAATAGCTACAGTTCCTTGTAGTAATGATCATATTTTTATGACTGGTATTTTTTCCATACTCTTCCTCTGAGAAGTCATTTTCATGACATTGTATTCAAGGTTCCATGGCTCAGGAAATGACAACTAATTATTGGCTATTTTCCTATGGTTATTAAAAACCAGAGTTTAGTAAAATATTTCTGAGTCTCAGGGTCACATTTCCTCTCCCTTCCATCATGTTGTGAAAACAAATTGAGCTGCAGACTGCATCCTGAACCCGATGTTCGTCCTGTGTCTTGGGTTCTCCAGGAGTGGCCCCCGAGCCCCGCTCGTGTCGTGCTTGCTCATTTTTATCCCCCAGATGTTCATTAATTGTGACATAAAGCCCTGCTTGACAGCGCCACTCCAGGCTTTGTCCCTGTTGCTCTTATTTATCACTGCACAGTGCATTGCTCGTGGTGGCTCTTTACAGATTTAACCCACCTCTCCCACAGGTCTGGATGTTTTCTGTGACTGATCATTTATTGGTCATATTCATTTTTCTTGTCACAGGACTGTGTTCTCCCTTTAAGTTTCCTTGGGAACTGCAGAAAGTTATTAGCAATCATATGCCGAGTTCCCATAGAGACCTGATCTGGACCGAATTCCTGGTAAATAGGTCTTCGGATTTTTACTGAACAAATCTTTTATTATTTTTGAAGCCTGGCGGTCATCTTCCTCATTAGCATTACAATTCTGTCACATTGGCTCTTCCTAATACATTTAAATATTTCTTCACTAAACTGGACTAAAATACCTATTTTGTAAATCTGGACGTTCCACCGTCTTCCTGTCCCTGTCATCTCCTGCACCTCTTACTGCATATGGGTTAGGGTTGTGACTATAGCTGTGCATAAGCAGATGCCACCCGGTGACAGGGACGCCTGTGAGGAAAGTGTCACGCAGTCTCATCGCTGGCCAACAGTACTCATCCAAACTAGTTGGCCACCCGCCGAGGCTCTGCTGCCTTGCCTCGGGTGTGCAGTTGCCGCTGACCCACACCTCAGTTATGTGGTGCGTGACTGTATATTGGTTTTAATGTTTTAAAGTCCCTTTTTTTCCTAATTAAAATTAATGATTTCTAGGGCTGAGAATGTAGCTCAGTGGTCGAGCACTTACCTAGCATTCTCAAGGCCTCGGCTTTGGTCCCCAGCACTGCAAGATAAATAAATAAATAGAGAAAGAAATAAAGACTTCTAGGTTATTCTTCAGATTCTGCTAAAGGTCGATTCCTTCTATACAGGACGGTGCTGAAGCCACTAGTGACACGAAGCGATTCTTGCAGCGCTCTAGAAATGGCGGTCTTTCTCTCTGCTCTTCATTCAGCACACATCTCTCTAGGGATGGTTGAGTGCTGGGTCTGGGCAAGGGACAAAGCTGAACAAGAACACTGACACTGGAATGGGACACAGATGAGCAGACACGACTGGCCGGCACAGAGCCAGTTGCAACTCCTGGGGTTGAGAAGGCCATTTGTGCAATAAGTACACCCGGCACCAGCAGATTCTCAGTGGATACAATGAATTTTTATCACCTGGATTTTTTAGGTAGTTGTCAGTGAAATCGACCTTTAGCAGAATCTGAAGAATAACCTAAAAGTCTTTATTCTTTATCTATCTGTTTATTTATTTATACGGCATTTTGGGAGTGAGGGTATAGCTTAGTTGGTAGAGCACTTGCCTCACATTGCACAAGGCCCTGGGTTCAATCCCCAGCACCACCAAAAAAAAAAAAAAAAAAAGTAAGAAGGAAAAATATATGGTATGGCATCTTTTTTCTTTTCTTTCTTTTTTTTTTTTTTGTTTAAGCAAGTGCTGGGAGTTGAACCTAGGGCCTCGCACATGCTAAGCACATGCCTACCACAGCGCTACGCTCCATCCCAGGGCATCACCTTAAAACCGTGTGACACCTGTGAAACCATGACGTTATGCTTCCCAGTGGTCTTGACCGACTCAGCATGAAGCCACGTGGAGTTGACACTGCAGTGTCTTCCTTCTAGAGAGGCATTCACTTTGTGACCTAATATTGTGATCAACCCAAAACACTGTACCTACTTCAGAGGATGGATGCATGTGATTTTTTTTTTAAACATGTAGTTGCGGTTTCTATATTTTCACTCCTATATGTAGTTGATTGTGTAAATACACTTTCTTTATTCTCATTTGTTTGACTTTGATTTTTTCCTATTAAAAACTTTTCTAAGCCGGGTGCAGTGGCACATGTTTGTAATCCCAATAGCTCGGGAAGCTGAGGCAGGAGGATCCTGAGTTCAAAGCCAGCCTCAACAACTCAGGGAGACCCCGTCTATAAATAAAATACAAAAACAGGTTGAGGATGTGGCTCAGTGGTTAAGCACCCCTGGGTTCAATCCCCAGTACTACCTCCCCCCCAAAAAAAAAAAAAAAAAAACCTTTTTCTAAACCTCTGCACATAACTTCTAGTGCCAGGTGATCTCGAAGCTGGGAGTGGACCTTTTTCAGCATCATCGCTGTTCTGCAAGTGACGAAGAGCCTTGGTTCAGGACGCGGACTGCCTTCTAGCTGCTTCGGTACCCTTTCCTCATCGTACTTTGCTTAGCCAAGCAGAAAGACCACAGCTCCTTTTTGTTTATTTTTCCCTAAACACTGGGCCTCCATTTCTGTACAGAAACATTCATAGTGGAGTGAGGTTGGTGAGAGATTGCCTGAGCGGTGTGGTATGGTGGACTGTGCCACTGACCTGTGGCTCCTGGGACAGACACTGCACCTGAGTGGCTGCCCCACCAACTCGGGTTTCCAGTTCATCCAGATGTTTCTTGATCCTTCTGGTTACTGACACCATTGGGGTCCTTTTGCAGTTTGAGCTTCTGCCATTTGTAACCCAAAGAGTGCCAGCCTTTAGTCCCAGGCCTCTCCGCCTCCCAGCCCCTTCCAGGTGAAGCGAGGTGGGCCCCCCTTCCAGGTCCCCTCCTAGTCAGTAACTCCTGCATCACCACCACACCGTGTGCTGCCTGCTGTGTCCCGGAGCCTCCACTCCCAGAACTCACCAAATGAGCCAGACTCCCATCCCTAAAGCCCCAGCCAGGGCCCTTCTCCCAAGTATAGTCTCAGAGAAGTGACTGGTGACACTGTCCTGCCAGCTGCACAAACCATGGACCTACAGCCGAGTTCTGCTACTGACCTGGAGTATGAGTCCATCTTCACCGCTCTTGTCACCACCTTTTGTGGTGACTTCTGTTTACCCTATATCTTCTTCATTCTGCAACCAGAGATCTTTTACAAAGGTATCTGAAATGAAAGTCATTCGCCTTCTAGAGCGCCCTCCCATGATGCCTAGGGCCAGTACCGGGCCTACCCTGGCTACACAGCCTGTAGTGCCTGCCTCTCTAGAAGGCTGCCTGGGACCAGGCCCGAGGAACAGGGAGAACACTGGGGCAAAGACCTTGCTCACTACGTTGGTTCAGGTTGCAGACCCTGCTGACCCAGATGTCCAAGACAGGAGGCTTCTGGGTTTGGGATGTTATGCACACCTTGAATTCGGATGGAGAGCTTCCAAACCAAGTTCTGGAGACATTCCTGCTCGGCTAGGTTAAAAGGTGTTCAAAAGTAGTTATTTTCATAATTCTATTTTAAGGAAATAGTGCTACCATGTGGTTATTTCCCCTCTCTCTCTGTGTGTGTGTGTGTGTGTGTGTGTGTGTATTGTGGATCAACCTTTATTTGTATGCTGAGAATTGAACCCAGTGCCTCACACATGCTAGGCAAGTGCTCTAACACAGAGCCACAACCCCAGCCCACCAAGTGTTTATTTCTAACAGTATAGATGGGTAATTTTCATCTGGGATGTTTTTCTATATTTTTCTAGAGAACATCTATAGCTTTTGAACTCAAGGAAAGTGATATTTTAAAAATAAAGTGGGGCCAGGGAGGTAGCTCAGTGGTAGAGCACTTGCCTAGTATGGGTAAGGTCCTGGGTTGTGGGTGGAGACACACACACACACACACACATACACACAGGTGCTGAGGCCTGTAGTTGTACCAGTGTCAATGTCCTGATTCTGATTTTGTGTTATAGTCAGGGGTGGCCATCGTGGGAAACTGAGGGAACAGGGTCCTATTATTTGAAAGTAAAAAAAGTGTAGGGAAGGTTTCTGAGAAAGATTGGCAAATAGGACTATGTTAAGAAGGCTTATCTTCAAGATACCTAAGAGGAAGAAAACTGACCACAGAATAAGGATGTTTGTAACACAGAAATCTACCAGGGGATATGTTAATGTTCAGGACATTTAAAAAACTCCTATGAATAATCTTTTTCTTAAAAGAACCCAGTAGAAGACTGAGTGTACACCCCAACAGGTACTTCACCAAAGAGGAAATCAAAAAGGCTAAAAACATGGAAAAGCAGGCAACCGTATCATCAACCAGAGAATGTAAATTAAAACTGCAGCAAGGGCCCCAGGGTACAGCGCTCGTCTAGCTTGCACAAGGGCCCGGGTTCAGTCCCCAGCGAAACAAAACACTGCAGTGGGGTAGATCCCATTAGCAAGCCCACCGTGTCAGCCCAATGAAAGAGGCTGTTAATCAGTGCTGGGGAGGGTGTGGTGCATTGGGATTCTTCATGCTGCTGGACCAAGATTTTGAAAACCTGTGAGGACAGTGAGCTTTGGAGATGCATACCCTGACCCCGAGGCCCCCTCCTAGGTGTATACCCTACAGAGATGTATTTCCACATGTACTGAGATACAGATGTCAAACAGTTTTACTCAAGAATCAGAAATGCTCGCGTGTTCATTCAGTGGATACCAAGCAGCATTGATCATGAACCACACAGTGTCCCGACTGAATCTTACGACACTGAGAGCAAAGAGAAGGCATCCTGAGGGAACGGGCATGTTTCAAAAACAGGGGAAAGTACGCTTTTAAATTGGGGACACACGAGGACTAGGGGAAGGAGGGCCCATGGCCATCTTCTGTTTCCTTACCTGGTAGTCGGCACACAAATGGCCACTCTGTCATTCTGCAGACATGTCAAGACTTTCAGAAAGGGGTGTATAAACATGTGAGCCACAGAGAAGGTGAGGCGAAGGACCATCTGTGGGTTCCATCCTGAGGCCCAGGTGTAGCAGCCTAGTGACCGCTCTCTGAGCCCAGTCCCTCATCTGAATTGACTGCAGAGACTCGAGGGTGTGGGAAGATGAAGTGCAGGGAATACAGAGCTCAGAAGCCCTCATTATTCCCGCAAGAGGATGCCTCCCCACAGGAAGTGACCTGCCAGTGGTGGACTGGATCATGGCCCTGCTGCTGGACTTGGGCAGGACTTTCACTGTCTTAATCAGACGCAGGTCAGACTCACACCTCTTTCTCCAGTTCTGGGTCAGAGGCTCCCTCTACTGAGGGGAGGCGCCTGTCCTGGAGGGAGCCCTCCTCCCCCCCGCAGCAGGCACAGGGCTGCTCCCTCAGTCACTGAGCTGTGGAAATCTGTGAGGTCCTCATATCGTTCCTGCCCTTGAACTGGGCAACCACCACGGAAAGATCAGGGCCTGGTTGAGCAATGGTTCCTGAATATCTTGGTTTAAAACAAATAGAAAAGATGAGAAATATTTGTGAAAATATAGAAAAAACAGACCCAACTGCCCAAGCGGTTAAGCCTCCTCCTAAAGCAAGTGGAGACCCTGAGCTGGGGCGGGCTGGGCAGAGGCTGCATCTTGGCTCAGCTCCACACTCCCCCCAGAAGCAGTGCGAAGGAGGTGGGGACCACAGGCTCTGCTCTGGCCCTCCTTCCTGCTGGGCCTTGGCCAAGGTCCCTTGCCCCTCCTAGAAGGAGGGGTGTGGTATGGTGGTTCAATCCCCATAGTTCCCGGAGGTCTGCCATCCTCATCTGGGACGTCCACTGTGCACGTAGAGCCCTGGCGTTCAGAGCACAGGCTCAGAGCTCTGCCCGGCTCTGTCGCTACCTGGCTGTCTGGCTGAGTCTCACCTTCCCCATCTGCAAACTACCAAATAGGTCCCAGGGAAAGGCTGGCTTGAGACGGGGACAGCCAGGCAGTTAAGGGGAGAAAGAGGCCACTGTAGTCTGATGGGTGCATCTGCAAGACCAAGTCAGATTTAAAACTTCCCTGTCTGTGAGGTGTTGGGGCCAGAGAGAGGGCTTACAGGACCACGCCCAGGGAAGAGGCCAAGGCCAGGTGAGTGGTGATTATCTGGGCTTCCAAAAGGGAGAGACAGTGGTACGCAGGCCAAGGTGGGGCTGTGGGGTCCAGAGGGCAAGGTGTTGGAAGGGGTGAAGAGAGGGATTTTGGAGGAGGAAGAGGCACCAGGGTCCTTGGAGAGTAGCTGCACTGGGGAGAGAAATGGGGCTAAATGGTTTGGGGACTTGGGCAGAGAGGGGGCACCTGGGCTGTGATGTGCCCAGCAGGGGCCTGGGGCAGAGAAAGACGTTGTGGGTGGATGGGAGGGTGAGGTGAGAGTCCATGCAGTCTCTGACCTCCAGTGGCTCTTCCTTCCAGACCTAGTTTGTGGTGTGACCTGTACATCTGTGAAGTGGATGGATGGCCTCTATCTGGGTGGCTCTGGCTTCCGGCCAAGAGGAGCCAAAGTCAGTTGGCAGCAGTGTGGACCCTCAAGAGTGTAGTTCGCCAAGACTGGCTCCTGGACAGTCTTTGCACCTTGACTGCTGGGTAGCAAGGCGGTCCCTCCTCTGATGGTCACCAAATGTCTGTTTGGTGGGGTGGTGGGGTGGCCTGTGCACAGCCTCGTGGATGGAGGATACTTCTGTCAGTGTCTTGAGCAGGTGGAC